CAGAATGAAGAAACTGAAATATACCTTGTACAGTGGTGCCTCGCATTACGACGTTAATTCGTTCCAGTGAAATTGCTGTAGAATGAAAACGTCGTAAAGCGATTTTAAAAAGCCCATAGAAACACATTAAAACCCGGTTAATGTGTTCCTATGGGCTGGAAACTCACTGTCCAGCGAAGATCCTCCATAGGGCGGCCATTTTCGCTGCCTGTGCAGCGAGGAATCCGTCCCAGAAAACAGCGGGCAGCCACTTTGTTTACCCGGCAGCCATTTTGAAATCGCCGACCAGCTGTTAAAAATCAATGCTTTGCAAGAATCGGTTCCCGAAGCAGGGAACCGATCACTGCAAAGTGAAATTCTCCCACAGGGAATTTTGAAAACATCGATGTCAAGCGGTTTTGTTAGTAATTTAAAATATACGGATGACATCATCATACTGGCAGAAAGCAGCAGTGACCTGAAACGACTTTTAGTGAAAGTGAAAAAAGAAAGTGCCAAAGCAGGACAGCAGTTTGATATTAAGAAGACTATATGACTACAGAACTACATAACTGTAACATTCAGAATGAAGAAACTGAAATATACCTTGTACAGTGGTGCCTCGCATTACGACGTTAATTCGTTCCAGTGAAATTGCTGTAGAATGAAAACGTCGTAAAGCGATTTTAAAAAGCCCATAGAAACACATTAAAACCCGGTTAATGTGTTCCTATGGGCTGGAAACTCACTGTCCAGCGAAGATCCTCCATAGGGCGGCCATTTTCGCTGCCTGTGCAGCGAGGAATCCGTCCCAGAAAACAGCGGGCAGCCACTTTGTTTACCCGGCAGCCATTTTGAAATCGCCGACCAGCTGTTAAAAATCATCGCTTTGCAAGAATCGGTTCCTGAAGCAGGGAACCGATCACTGCAAAGCGAAATTCCCCCATAGGGAATTTCAAAAACACCAATGTCAAGCAGTTTTGTCGTAAAACGGAGCGCCCGCCTTGCGGGGCACCACTGTATACCTTAGTTCAACCATCAATCCAAATGAAGACTGGAGGCAAGAAATCAGAAGAAGATTAAGACTTGAAAGGGCAGCAATGAAGGTCATTGATCATCAATGATCATCAAGTATCAGGATGTATCACAGGAGACTAAGATAATCCATACTCTTGAATTTCCAGTCACCATATATCAGTGTGAAAGCTGGACAGCGAAGCAAGTTGACAGGAAAGAAATTGATTCGCTTTAAATATGGTGCTGGAGGACAGCTTTGTGGATACCCCAGACCACAAGAAAGACAAACAAATGGGTCCTAGATCGAAGTAGCCTGAACTATTTCTAGAGGCAAAAACACTGAAACTAAGGCTGTTCTACTTTGAGCAAGAGAAAGTAGGGTTCTCTGGAAAAGATATTAATGCTGGGAATGATAGAAGGCAGTAGGAAATTAGGAAGACCAAACATAAGATGGAATGACTCCCTGAAGGAAGCACAAAATCGCCGACCAGCTGTTAAAAATCAATGCTTTGCAAGAATCGGTTCCCGAAGCAGGGAACCGATCACTGCAAAGTGAAATTCTCCCACAGGGAATTTTGAAAACATCGATGTCAAGCGGTTTTGTTGTAAAACGGAGCGCCCGCCTTGCGGGGCACCACTGTATACCTTAGTTCAACCATCAATCCAAATGAAGACTGGAGGCAAGAAATCAGAAGAAGATTAAGACTTGAAAGGGCAGCAATGAAGGTCATTGATCATCAATGATCATCAAGTATCAGGATGTATCACAGGAGACTAAGATAATCCATACTCTTGAATTTCCAGTCACCATATATCAGTGTGAAAGCTGGACAGCGAAGCAAGTTGACAGGAAAGAAATTGATTCGCTTTAAATATGGTGCTGGAGGACAGCTTTGTGGATACCCCAGACCACAAGAAAGACAAACAAATGGGTCCTAGATCGAAGTAGGCCTGAACTATTTCTAGAGGCAAAAACATTGAAACTAAGGCTGTTCTACTTTGAGCAAGAGAAAGTAGGGTTCTCTGGAAAAGATATTAATGCTGGGAATGATAGAAAGCAGTAGGAAATTAGGAAGACCAAACATAAGATGGAATGACTCCCTGAAGGAAGCACAAACTTGAGTCTACAAGAACTGAGCAGAGCTGTCGAGGACAGGACAGTTTGGAGGTCTGTCATCTATAAGCTTAAAAGACAGACATGCTTATAAAGTTCTTATACATCTTGATAATATAGTACTGCTATCGCTTACTATTATACTAGTGACTAAGTCAAGGAAAATTCTATCTATCGAAATGACAAAGATGGGAAAACACTGGAAGGACACTTGCAGACCTGCACTTCCAGGTCAAGACAGGGAGCCATATGTGAAAGAAGCATGACACAAATAACACAGTTCCTGTCTCAACAGCATGCCATTAGCTAACCAAAAGAAAAAAGGAAAGCCAAATTATACCATCAACAACCCTACAGAACTAAAATTCACTTATAACAAAACTTACAATTCACATCTATTTGAATTAAACACCTTTAAAACCGTTTATTACAATATGCTCATTTTCTTAGATCTCTTGCTGAAAGATCTAAATGTCTTCCTATGATAGTTTAGGCCAAAACCCAACACAGAATTCACATGGCTTAAGCCCAGCTCTTCATTGATTGTGGCCTCTGTGATTCCCTTGAGATCAAGCAGCTTCAACCTTGTTAAACCTTTAACAGCATAGAACACTGGGCTATAACTAAAAGGGGGGGAGAGATTGGCTTAGAAACAGATGATGAATGGTTTTCATAACTAAAAAGCTTCAGTCTGCAATTGAAATATTTATTTCTAATATTAAAATGCACCTACTACTTCAAATCAACTCCAATGAAAAAACCAAACAATTTTTCCAACACACTTTCCCACAGTAGATATTAAGGGTTCTCTGTGATCCACTTAAGCAGTACATTAAGCTACATGTAGCAGACAGCACATCAATGAGAAAGATATTTGATTGTCGCAGCACTTCTCAATTTGCTCACAATTTGCATATTAGCTTACGTACTTTGTTTTACATTTGCTCAATGGGGGAAACAGTTTTTGCAAATAAGCTTCATTGCTCAACCACAAAGATCTGCAAGAATGCATGTCTTTGGAAAGCTAATATGATTTCAGCTTTTAATAATGTCCTATGTACAACATATAATTGGACCTATGGGGATGTAGACACATACTTTTATCCCAACTGTCACCTTTTTGCAGTAAAACTGACTGCTTCACCTGTACTGGATTCCAGTTCAGAGCCTCAGTTTTTATTTCACTTTTAAATTCCTCATATTAACATAAGTTGTGCCCTGCTCAACAGTTTCCCATAGTGAACAACCAGATGCCTTTACAAAACTCACAAGTAGAATGTCAGGATATAATAGCTGTTACCTAGTGCTGCTATCCCAATGACATTGAGAGAAATTTAGCATTTTAAAACATCTCAAAGTCCTCAATAGTTTTTCTTGAAATGGTGTACAAATAATAACTCAAATCTAAAGCATACAGTAAGGAATTTTAAGAATAGATTAAATATAACTGATTTGAATTTCTAAAATATTATCCTCAAATGGAATAGTATTTTTCAAAACGGATTTCCATTTGGCACTGGTTCCAAAAATTGAAAGATATCATAGAATCATAAAATTGGAAGGGGCCTATAAGGCTACTGAGTTCAGCTCCCTGCTCTCTACCAGTTGGTTGTCTAAATTTCTCTTGAATGCCTCCAGTGTTGCAACACTCACCACCTCTCGAGGTAACTGGTTCCACTGTTGCACTGCTATAACATTTAGGAAGTTTTTCCTGATATTCAACCGAATTCTCTCAGAAGATTTGTCTCTAGAAAATTTTGTGGGTGAGGTGAAGAGAGTATGATCTGCCAAAATGACAACAGAGAATGTTCCATCAAAAAGAAAATGTATAACGTTTTATCAACATTTGGTTCCACGAATCATCAATAAGTGAACAAAAGGGTTTTGCCCCTACTCACAGGAAATTCCAACATGGCTGGCTGACATTTTACCCTCATCTCACAAGACTGGCCCACTGTCCTTCTCAAGCTCTTTGCATGAAATAAAGTCCCATTCCTAGAGCTTCATGCACTCTTCCAGTCTCTCTCCTCTCACTGAGGTTACCAACACTACACAGAACATCTGAGCTGACAAACCTGAAAGACTACCGTTGCGACATTAACTCACTTCTAGTTATAGGCTATATCTAGCATCTGATTCTGGCAGTCATAATCTATTGTTAGGAAGAGTTTATATATGTTCCGTGAATCCCAGTGGAATTCCTAGCCAGGTGGGTGGATGCTTCATATCATTAGAAAAGAACTCACATCAGTGTGGGTGTGCAAAGGGAGGACAGGACTTTTCCCCAGCAAACAATCTGAGTGCAGTTTTTTTACATGTACATTCAAGAAAGTGAGAGTGGTAGGACTTTCTCACACAGGGGTTACCTTCTTTTAAAACAAGAATAGAATGATTCTCCTACTTCTATGGAGTGACGCATGAGGCTGGAGCACATGACTACATACTACCCCAGCATTATTTTGGGGTGACAAAGAATAGTCTTGAATCTATCTACATGAAACATCCTTTTTTTTGAGAAAGCAATTTCTTTACCAAATCTTAAAAATAAATCATCCTTCTCAGTATACAAATGTTACTAAAAGAAGTAAATGTGGTCAAACCCCCCCCCTTGCTTAGAAAGGGAGAAGAGTGTTTGCCTTCAGTCTTTCCAAGGGGATGGGTAGATTGCAATTCACAGATTTGCAAGGTAGCCAGGCTGAAACCTGGGAAGATGTTTTCTCGTTTCAGCATTTTGTGCATACAAGATCAATAGCCAGAGGCTGTCACCTCCTACACAAAGGGAAACCTGCCTGCCAGCAGCAGTTCTCTCCCACACTTCTGCCCTCCACATAGCCCAGTGCTCAGCTACTACCTATCTTATAAGTCAATCAGTCACTCACTCACTCACCACCTGTGATCTGTGCAGGGCCAAAGCACAAAGCCAGCTGGAACCACAAGACCACGAGGGATAGCCTTGACTGTGAACGCTGAAGCAACCGTGGAGGCTGTTGCTGCTGCTCCTGCTTCTCTAGGAACGGATCCCTGCTGTTCGGGTTCATTCCATGACACATCTTTCATCCGCAAAGGGCATCAGGATTGCAATGGTCTGCAAACAGAATGGGGAGCCTGTTTGATTGAGCACAGGGGTACTTTCCCATGCGTACACACCTCCTTTTAAAAGAAAGCACTCAAAAAGCACTTAGAAAGGAGCGAAGCACTTGGTAACAACCTTCACCTGCCAGCTTGCCGTCGTTGCCCTGGCATCGCTTGTGCGCCCCCTACCGGCAGGTTGAGAAATGTCTCATGAATAACCAGTCTGGCCTCGCTTCCAGGCTATCTCCTGCCGCTCACTATTTGGGAGGGGGGTTTGTCTCTCCAGACGTGAGCGATGGCCCCTATTCTTCACATGTCACCATTTTTCTAGCCCAGAAAAGCCCTGCGCTTATCGAATCTCGGTCCTTCCCTCAGCCGGTCCTTGCCTCTGGCTGACGTGACACCACGCCACTCGGTTCTTTTGCACCGAGCCTCAACGTGCTTCTCCCACCGCTTCGCTCCCCCCCCCCAACAAATGGCAAAAGTCTCGTGTATGATTTCCGACAACTGAAACACGCCCCTCGCCTCCACCGTAGAGCCGGCCTGGGGGAACCTCTTTAAACCTCTCAGGCAGCATTTTTGCTTTTGATGGGGAACGGGGGGGGGAGAGAGGGTGGCGAACCCTGGAGAGAAAAAAAAACCTGCCAAGGACTTCCCTTTCATGTCGCAGCCTTTCCCCCCCTTCCTCCACAACCGTGTGGCAAACGGTCCCACGTTCGCCCGGTTTTCCCGCCCCCTCCTCGCCATTTTTCCCGCTGGTTACGCCGCGACCTTTCACTGCCCTTATTATTATTGTTATTATTATTATTATTGTCGCCGCCGCACTCCCGGCGCTCGCTAGCGGAGGAGGAGGAGGAGGAGGAGGGCTGAGAGAGAGGCACGGCGCGCGCCGCAGCTCGCGCTCATCCTACCTGTCTGCGGGGAAGGGGAGGGGATGGAGAAGGGGGGGGAAGGCGAACACCCGCGAGGCTGAGCCGGCGCCGGCTGCCGCAGCTGCTGCCAATAAGAAGGCTGAGCGCGCACCTGCTTTAGTGCACGAGCCGCCTTCCACGCGGCTCCCGCGAAGGAGCTGCTTCTTCTGAGCTCTGGCGGGCGAGGAGCCGCCGCCGCCACCACGACGTTGCGTTCCCTGGTGGTGGGGAAATGAGCGAGCGGAGAAGGTCTCCTCTCTGCCTGCGAAGCACGCTCTTGGTTTGTCACGAGAAGCCCTGTGTGAATGCTGTGAGAGCGCCATCGCCACCGGGAGCCGGGCATGAGAAGGGGGGCGTCTGGCTGTCGTTCCCCACCCCGACACTCACCCTTGAAGTCGAGCAGTTAAAGAGAGAAACGGGGGCTCCCACTGAAGTTTGGCTTTTTCGGTGTGTGTGTCTTTTTTTAAAAAGAGCAAGATGCCATGTTGGAATAAATGCCGGTCTTTTTTTTTTTTTTTTTTACGGTCACGTTGAGCCAACTCGTCCAATTTGACCTCTTTGGGAAGTGGCGGCCATTTTCCAAGAACGCCACTCCAGACGTGGAAGGAGGGGAAATTGAATAAGGTGGCATTTCATAACTTGGTTCAATTGCAAAAGGGTTGCAAATAAATCTCCATCTTCAGTTTGCGCGAAAAGGCCGCTAGGAGTGCTGTTTACAGCTTTGCGTGCGAAGTCCAGCTCTTTCTGGCTGTTGTGCATATGTACACTTCCTTATTAAAACACGATAAATGTGTTGATCATAACAAAATGGCTCAGTAAAAAGTCAGTATGACCTGGTAGGCAAACCTGATCATGCTGCTGGGGTGGACACAACACCTTTTTGCTGCCTGAGGCAGATGAACAAGCAGCAATTTCCCACCAACTTCCCATCAAGGTGCAGAGTACCCTAATATACTCTTTATGTACACATGAGGCTAAAATACAGTAATAAATTAAATGTTGCCACTTACTGCTTTGTTATGATATACAAAACCTACTGCTTGGCAGGCCCACTTCACCTTGCCTAATGGTCGGGAAGGACTTATAATTCTTGAGCCTCAGTGTACTTGGGTTTCAAGAAAAGCTCTTTAAGCTGCCTATAAGTGCTCCAATTATTGAAGAAAATATGGGGCAGGGAATTAAAGTCATGATGAGCAATCCTGATTCCTCTACTTACGATTAAAGCATTGCCCTTCATAACTTTTTATAAAGAGTAGCCAATGGAATTGATCTGAAAGATGTGAGGACTGGGAGTCTCTACAAGTTGAAGGTTGAAACCACTAAACTACATATACTGTATAGGTTAGTTTGGGATTAGTACAGTTTTCAAGAAGAAAACTCAGTAATCCGTTGATTCTTGAAAGCCAATGTAAAGCCAGTTCTCTTTTTGGTATTCTCATTTGTTGAATGTTTCCATCATACTTTTCAGATTTGCAATTAAAATGTATGGGTTTTTAATGAGGAAGTAATGTTTTCAGATTAACTTGGCATCTAGAACAAAGGAAATAAAGCACAGTGGTTGGGTAATAGATCATGCCAGTGAAAATATAAGAGCAGCGCGCTTATGTGGACTGAGTGCATGATTGACAGGATGTATGTAAGCTCAGCAGGATCAGAATACAAATTTGCCCTTGAAAACAGCACAGAAATTACAGCAAGCCCAAAATGCGGTGGCTAGACTGATTTCTGGGATTAGTAAATTCAATTGTACATCCTCAGTCTTGGTACACCTTCATTGGCTCCCTGTCAGTTTCTGTGCTCAATTCAAGGTGCTGGTTATGATCTATAAAGCCCTTAATGATTTAGGACATCTCTCCCAGAAATTAGCTACCTGTTTCACCCATTCTTCTCAATCCACAGGGCTAAAAGTGGCTACACAGAGGGAAGCCAGAAAGGCAAATAGTCTTCCCAGGCAAAAATAAAAAACTGCACTTCCCTGTGCATCGTGTAGTCAGAACTTTAAAATCGGTTTTAAACTTGCTAAACCCAATTCAACAACAGTTTTTTCCCCATATATAACTGAATTGTTCAAATTCATATCAAGGTATTCCCTGTCACGTTCCCACCTGTCTCTTGATTGTTTCATCAAACACAGAGCACAAGCTACATGTCTTTCAGCTGCCACCAGTTAATTACATCAACATTATGTACAGTATTATTAATAATAGCAGCCCAGGCCATGTGTCATTTTAAATAGAACCAAATAGAAGTTGTTTATTAATACAGGTGATGAAGGTACAATCAATGTCTTTAACTCTTAACCAAATATCTCACTTCATCCACCCTCAACCACCAAACTCCCCAATTCCAAAATCTCCCTTCTCACCTCCTCTCAAACTCCAATCTCATCTCCCCTTCCTCCTGCAGAGAATTTTATATCTCATGACTCTGCCTCTCGAGCACTCTCATTGGTCCATGCAGATAGCATATGAATATTCATGACCTGGGCAGATGCCACACCCTCCTCATAAATCCCCCAAACCAGCTCTGCAGGGCTAAAAAAAACCCCTTGAATTGGTTTTCAATCTGTGAGATAGGGTTAAAGTGGCAGCAGGGAAGGAGGGAATAAATATCTCCTACAGTATATCTGGCCCATATCAGCAGTCCAGCTGCACAGTTTGGGGGCAGCTGAAAAGCTTCTGAACTCTCATAAGGGAAACCCCATGTAGAGCTTACTACAATATAATCCTTAATACAGTAGAGCAACTAAGGCATCTGTCACTATAGCCTAGGCAGATACTGTACCTCCAGAACATGCATATCTGATGCTTCACTGAGACTTGAGCATCCAGGCTCAGGGATGAATCCTGAAGTACATCAAAGGTGCTGGCCTGAAGTTTTAGGGTGAGTGTAATATCATCTAGCACAGGCTGAATCCCTTTTACCTGATCTTTCAGTCAACTTAGGAGCACTTCTGCCTTGTCTAAATTGAGCTTCAACTTACTCACCTTCATCCATTCCATTACTGACTCTAGGCAGTGATAAACAACCAAAAGGGCTTCCTCAGATTTACTGTAAGTGGAAAGAAAAGATAGAGTTGGATGCCATCAGCGTATTTGTGGTTCCAAACTCCTATCATTTCCCCCTAGTAGTTTTATGTAGATGTTAAATAGCATAGGGGACAAGACAGAATCCTGCGGGACACCACAGACCAACAGCCAAGGTGTCAACAGGATTCTCTCAATACCATTTTCTGAGTCTGGCCCTTCAAGAGGGACCAAAGCAACTGTAACACAGTGCCATCAATAATCCAGAATTGATGGTACTGCTTCTTGTCCAGTTCTCAGCATGGATCATACATCAAGTCAACTAAAGCTGTTCGATTGCATACCAGGATTATTTGGATAATCCATTTCATTCAGGAATTTGGAGCTGGGCAGCCATTGCACATTTAAGCTTCATAATTCAAGCAACGTTAGAACCATATAGCTAGGAAAACACACACTAAATTTACAAGCTGTGATCAACAAAGATCATGTTTGTTTATTTCAATGACTGTTTGCTTGTAATATCAATAGCTTTTGCTAATGTCACTTGTGAAAATGATCAAGATACAGTTTATTCTAAGTATTTTAAAATAGCATACCTTGTGTGACATGTTTTCATAATGGCAGCAGCCTTGAACGTTAACCATCACTGCCAAAGACTAATTCTCTCGAACGGTCATTTCATTTGTGCAGCATCCAACCAAGCTTCCCAGCTTCAATCAATATGCTTCCATAATAGATTAGCAATTGCCAAGTCACAGGAAGTCTTCCAAGTTACAGAAAGAGAATGTGGTTACCAGTAGCACCAGCTGTATCTCTCAACCTAAAAGTGTCACCAGTTCATGAAATGTCAAGCTCCTATTCAGTTACACCTAAATATTAATTATTCAGACTTTGTGAAAAAGAAATAGTGTAGATACACAATTGCCTAAGAATAAATAAACATATCACCTTCCAGATCAGTGGTCCCCAAACTTCGGTCCCCAGATGTTCTTGGACTTCACCCCTAGCTGTGCTGGTCAGGATTTCTGGGAGTTTTAGTCCAAGAGCATCTGGGGACCTAAGGTTGGGAACCACTGCTTCAGATGTTGGACTGCATGTGTTATCAACCTCAGCCAGCATGGCCCATGGTCAGAGATAGTGAGAGCTGGAGTTCAAAAACATCTACACATCTGGAATCCACCAGCAGCAGTATCTATTCACTGTTAGCCATTTACTGTGCTTCATATATTGGAATACTTAAGAGAAGTCTCTCTCCAAGATTTTAGAGTACAGTATTGGGCAGGCACATGTGGAAAAGCAGTAGACCAGTTCTAAGCTGTTAACTAAAATCTCCAGATCTCAAATGCAGCACTTTGAACTGAACTTGGAAACTATTTCATATTTCTCAGTACAGGTTCACACTATCACAAATCTAACTGTAATTTGTGATGTCTTCATAATCAGCTTCATACATAAGAAGATGCAATGGTTTGAAACTAGTCTCAGTCTGTTGTAGTAAGGTCATAGGTGGCACAAGATACTTAGTTGGTAAAACATATTGAGTTCCATCTTTTATGGAGCTTCTAGATCTTTGTTCTGTCTACGCTGGGTTGCAAGTTCTTCATGTTCATCAGATTAATTACCACTCCCAGGATCTGGCTAATGATGATTATATCTTTTCAATTATCCTGGAAGTTAAATTTTGTGTTAATTAGGTTTTGGTTTTAGTATATTTTGATACTTTTACAGATAGTTCTGCACTTCTGATAAGCTGCCTTGTCCTTATTGAAAAGGCAAAGTTAAAATGGATAAACATGTAAAATTCTGCAGAAAGTATTTTCAGTAGCAGCATCTCTGTGACTGAAGATAATGTTGTTTGGACAATGGGTTTCTACTCCCCCACTTTTCTAAATGAATGCAGTGAAATGTGGACAGGGAATATTGTTCTTGTTGCTGATTTATCACACCTTTCAGGCAAGGATAACCAACCACAAGTGTAAAAATCTAGTATCATTACAGTCTTAGCAATTACTGCTAATTAAGCTTTATTAGAAAGGCTCCAAGCAGAGGAAGAGCTCTGTTTGAACCTGTTCTTCCCCTTGGCTAACATGACCTATATAAATGATTACTTGACTTTTAAAAACTGTTTTCATAAACCTGGCATTAAATCAACTTTAGTAAACTCAGATTTTTATATATATCTTTTAGGTTTTTGAATTCTAGAAGCATACAAAACTGGCTTCCAACAAGCCCTTTGGTCCATGTTGCCTAGTACATCAGCTCCGACTGGCAGCAGTGATCCAAGATT